CAAGGCTGCTACTGCCGCACCGCAACGGCGCCCTCATTGCGCCCGTGCCCAGCCTCTGTCCCATGACCGCGCGCCCGCCGGAGCTCTGCCGCTCGGGCCGCCCCTGCAACCGCCTCCCTGCATGCTCTCCAACGTCACCGCCACTGCACGTCGTCGCCCCCGTCGATTCCGGTAGCCCCCGCACGAGCCGTGGTTAACAGTCGACGCGCGACGTCGAGCACGTGCAGTGGGAACCGTCCCCGGGCCAAATAGTGGCCGGAGTCCTTTGAATGGCCGCCGCCGGCGCATTCTGCCATCACCGCCATTAGCCACTTACGTGGCCTCATTAGCGATGAGCTAACCACCTCCTGACTCCCTGACACCGGCCCCCACCTCGCTAATTAATGTTTTTTTGGATAAATAAAATCTGTAAAAAAATGGTGACTCACTGACAGGGGCCCCGTCAAATAATTATCCCATTAAAAACAATCTGTTAAAATATCAGCCAATGACAGGTGGACCCCTTGTCCAGATTGACCAAGTCAAACTGCTGACTGGACTAGCCTAGTCATTGACAGGGGGTCCCACTAGACCCCTTTGACTAGTCAAGCTGACCAATCAACTGCTGACTGGACCTAGTGACTGGGTAGTTGACTTAGTCAACTGTCCCCACCTGTCAGCCTTAGGTGCACACTTCTGGGTACACTTTCTGTGTACCCATAGCATTTAAATACTAATTTAGTTTCGAATTAAATTAAACCCAGAAATTAGAAAATCATTTAAAACTTTGAAAATTAATATAAAATAATCCATAACTCAGATGAAAATACTTTGTACATGAAAGTTGCTCAGAACAACGAGACGAATCCGGATACGCGGTCCGTTCGTCCGCCACACACCCCTAACCTATCGAACCCGCAACTTTCCCCCTCCGGCTCCTCTGCCCGAAAACACGAAACACCGGGAATACTTTCCCGGGGGTTTTCCCCCCTTCACCGGTATCACCTACTACCGCGTTAGGGCACACCGAACACCGCGTATTGCCTTGATATATTTTGTGGTGCTTTGTTTGCTCTGTATTCATTATTTCTTCCCCCTCTTCTCTCCGGTAGACTACGAGACCGACGCTGATGCCACCGAGTACGACTACGTCACCGACGACCCCTCTCTCTTGCCAGAGCAACCAGGCAAGCCCCCCCTTTGATCACCAGATATCGCCTACTCTTCTCTATACTGCTTGCATTAGAGTAGTGTAGCATGTTACCGCTTTTCGTTAATCCTATTCTGATGCATAGCCTGTCATTGCTGCTACAGTCATTGATACCTTACCCGCAATCCTAAATGCTTAGTATAGGATGCTAGTGTTCCATCAGTGGCCCTACACTCTTGTCCGTCTGCCATGCTATACTACTGGGTTATGATCACTTCGGGAGGTGATCACGGGCATATACTATATACTTTACACTGATACATTACTGGTGATACTGTTTGGAGATGGGGGCTGAAGGGGCAGGTGGCTCCATCCAGGTAGTGGTGGGCCTGGGTTCCCGACGGCCCCCGACTGTTACTTTGTGGCGGAGCGACAGGGCAGGTTGAGACCACCTAGGAGACAGGTGGGCCTGGTCCTGTTCGGCGTTCGCGGATACTTAACACGCTTAACGAGATCTTGGTATTTGATCTGAGTCTGGCTACGAGCCTATACGCACTAACCATCTACGTGGGAGTAGTTATGGGTATCCCGACGTCGTGGTATCAGCCGAAGCACTTCGTGACGTCAGCGACTGAGCGGCGCGCGCCGGGTTGGACTGCGTTAACGCAACTTCCTTTGTAATGGAGGTTGCTAGGTCTGCTCACCGGCCGCGTACGCAACGTGCAGGTGTGCTCAGGGCGATGGGCCCAGACCCCTGCGCGCTTAGGTTTAGACCGGCGTGCTGGCCTCTCCGTTGAGCCTAGGTGGGGCTGCGACGTGTTGATCTTCCGAGGCCGGGCATGACCCAGGAAAGTGTGTCCGGCCAAATGGGATCGAGCGTGTTGGGCTATGTGGTGCACCCCTGCAGGGAAGTTAATCTATTCGAATAGTCGTGATCTTCGGTAACAGGACGACTTGGAGTTGTACCTTGACCTTATGACAACTAGAACCGGATACTTAATAAAACACACCCTTCCAAGTTCCACAGACAACCCGGTGATCGCTTTTCCACAGGGCGACGAGGAGAGGATTGCCGGGTAGGATTATGCTATGCGATGCTACTGGAGATGCTGCTTGGAGATGCTACTTGGAGATGCTACTTGGAGGACTACAATCTACTCTCTTCTATATGCTGCAAGACGGAGGCTACCAGAAGCGTAGTCTTCGACAGGATTAGCTATCCCCCTCTTATTCTGGCATTCTGCAGTTCAGTCCACCAATATGGCCTCCCTACACATATACCCATGCATATGTAGTGTAGTTCCTTGCTTGCGAGTACTTTGGATGAGTACTCACGGTTGCTTTTCTCCCTCTTTTCCCCTTTCCCTTCTACCTGGTTGTCGCAACCAGATGCTGGAGGCCTGGAGCCAGACGCCACCGTCGACGACGTCTACTACCCCGGAGGTGCCTACTACTACGTGCAAGCCGCTGACGACATCCAGGAGTAGTTAGGAGGATCCCAGGCAGGAGGCCTGCGCCTCTTTCGATCTGTATCCCAATTTGTGCTAGCCTTCTTAAGGCAAACTTGTTTAACTTATGTCTGTACTCAGATATTGTTGCTTCCGCTGACTCGTCTATGATCGAGCACTTGTATTCGAGCCCTCGAGGCCCCTGGCTTGTATTATGATGCTTGTATGACTTATTTTATTTGTAGAGTTGTGTTGTGATATCTTCCCGTGAGTCCCTGATCTTGATCGTACACATTTGCGTGCATGATTAGTGTACGATTGAATCGGGGGCGTCACAAGCCGGGTGCTAGTCGGCTCCGCCGACCACACGATGAACTCCGACAGCATCTCGGCAGCGCGGAAGCGCGACATAGGGGGACGCGCAGCCGGAGCGCACCCCTGGTCGCAGTAATCTGCCCACCACCATGCTGGAAAGCATCTCCGCGGCCGCGGGGAGCTGCCGTGGTGGCCACAGGATGTTTGCGGGGGGCGCCCTCGGCCGCGCTTGGGCGGAGGAGAGGCATGCACAACCTGGCAGGCCTTCCCTTTCTCCGCGGCCGAGAACCTCCTCGACGGGGCCATGGAGAAGAAGGAGAAGCAAGGGGAGATGAACTGGAAGGGCGCGCGTCGATCAGTACTTATAGTTGGCGAGGGCCAACCGACGGCCCCCACGATCGCAGGTAATCATGACCCGCTTCGCATGCAGGGATTTGTCTAATCCGTGCAGTTGCCAAGGCGCCATGGGGAAGTGGAGATGCCCACGTCGAATCAACCGCCACGCGGCGCCCAAGGCCGCATGCTGTTAGGGCCTGCGGCGCTCCGCTCCTGCCCTTTTGCCTCCCAGCACGGCCAAGTCCGGGCGCGCCTTGGGACCGGGGGCTACTGTCGGCGTTCTGGGAACGGGGGTCCCCAGACTTGCCTGCCTGCGGCCTGCGGCGTGGCTCAAAGGGGGGCCCAGCACGGCCCATCTTCACCAACACAAACCCAAGACCCTCGCGAGGGGCCAAGCCTCGCGAGACGGACGACGCAGAGCTTCCTCAGGCACGGCCTCGTCAGGCTGGCTCACGAGGAGGCGGAGAGATCAAGGCAGGGTACCTCGTGAGGTGCCCATGACGCAAGCCATGACGACTCAGGGCGCCAGGCGGGTGCCAGCCACGCATCGTCCTCCTTTTCTCTTTAGTGCAAAGGGGGCAAGCGCAGCCGCGGAGTACCGAGGCATCAGGCAAAGGTTGCCATTTCGGTGCAACGAGACCAAGACCAGGAGGACTACGAGACGGAGGTCACCGTGGAGCGCAAGACGGCGTCATCACTAGAGCTTTGCGCAGGCGAAGACTACTTTTGTCAGGATAGCTGATACTTGCTGTCCCCCTTCAAATTAGCCCACCATTGTTGGCTCCCTTCCCGCTCGATATTTGGGAAGAGGACCAGGGCCTCTATAAATAGGACCAGCCACCCACATAGCAAGGGGTTCGGTCGGTTGGAGGAAGCAGAGAGAGAGAGAGAAGGGTGACTGAACTCCTCCGAGCAGTTCATCACCCTAGCCAAGAACAGACCCTCGCGAGGCTGTTCTTCCTTGTATTCATCATCATCATCAGCCCAAGAGGCAATCCACACACCACACACTGGAGTAGGGTATTACACCACAACGGTGGCCCGAACCAGTATAAACCCTGTGTCTCTTATGTTGTCCTTTCCGTAGTTTTAGATCCTAGCATGGCGGAGGGGTGCAGGTAGGTAGGAGACGAAATCTTCGCGCGCATCCCAGTGTTCGAACCTCAAGGGTCTGTCGGAACCCAGAATCTGACAGTCGGCACCGGCGTGTCGCTTTGACGCAACTTTAGGACGGGGAGCTAGTCAATGTGAATAATGTGAAGTCCACGTGCCACTGTCAGACCACAACATGCCCCTTTGCTGCTCCCTCTCCCCGCCCCCGCCCCGCCCTCTTCGGGACTGATTTGGATCCGCACCGTTGCCGCTGCCCCGACCTCACTGGAGCGTGGATCCGCACCGTTCCCGTTCCCGTTCCCGGTAGGTGGTTGGCACGCCCGTTCAGGAGTATCTCTCACGAGACTGCTAGCTTTACTTGCCGCTGCCGCGCTGCCCCGGCAAGCAAGCGAGCGGAGCCTGCCGAGATTCGATCCCCCGCCTCCCCGCTGCGGCGCAAGTGCAACCACCACCAACCTCCCGAGACCACGAGACCGCACCTCACTCCCCCCGCGCAGCCGCGGGAGCTCGAGATCTGACCTGAGGCGCTCTCCGCTCCGCTCTGCTCTGCTCTGCCACGCTCTGCTCACCCCCAATGCCGCGAGCGGGAGGAGCGGCGCCGGCGGTGAGACGGTAATACCACTATATAGCACGGAGCACTAGCCGACCCGTCTCGGGGAATGAGGCCGCGGCGGCACTCGTACGGCAGGGGCGGCAGGAGCGCGGCGGCGGCGGTGCTGCTGGTGCTCTGCCTCTGCGTCACCGGCGTCTTCCTCCTGCTCCTGCACGGCTCCTCCCCGCCGCTGGACACGGAGGGAGGGAAGGAGCAGGCGGCCGCGGCGGGAGGAGGAGGGGGGAGGCACGAGGGGCCGGTGGTCCTGGCCGAGGTGGAGGAGGCGCCGCTGCCGCCGGGGAACGCCAGGGTCGCCTTCCTCTTCATCGCCCGCAACCGCCTCCCGCTCGACCTCGTCTGGGACGCATTCTTCCGTGTACGCCCCCCCGCCCTTCTCGCTCCATCTCTCGATCGCCGTCTCGATTTCACCAATGCGGGAGCGAACGAATGAATTAATCTCAAGTCGCATTGTGATTCTTATTATGCGGATCAGGGCGACAATGAGGGGAGGTTCTCCATCTTCGTGCACTCGCGGCCAGGCTTCGTGCTCACCCGCGCCACCACCCGCTCCCGCTTCTTTTACAACCGGCAGGTCAACAACAGCGTCCAGGTTAGTGCTGACAGTTCCTACCATAATATGTGATCTCTGCGTTCGATGCTCCATTGCTGCCGACATGATTTTAACTTTTTTGGCATTCAGGTGGATTGGGGGGAGGCGAGCATGATCGAGGCCGAGCGCATCCTTCTCAGCCATGCACTCAAGGATCCCTTCAATGAGCGCTTCGTTTTTGTGTCCGACAGGTACAGTTCGATGCTGTTCTTAGAATGACAATTTGCACAAAAGAATGAAATCAATGAAGCATAAGGTCTAAAGGGGGAACTTGTACTGTTTAACACATCACTTATGTGGTGTTTGAGCTCTTGCTGCAATACACTAATTAGTAAAGTGGAAAATCTGCTGTATTATGTCCTGAGATTGTGTCAATGTTTCTTTTGTTGTCCCATGTAGATTGTCTTACTTTTTCCAATAAATGGAATTTCATTCAATCATTATATCAAGCTAATACAACCGCACTGAGCCCAAACTCTTCATAACATGCACACAACCAACATGTCCGAGAGAACTCAAAAGTAGGGTTTTACAGAAAAAAACTCATGATAGACCACGTACCTTTGCATGATAGACCACGCACGGAGCCAACGTGTACATGCCTGAATAACTTACACACGAGATGAAATACTCTTTTTGTTAAAAACCACATCATTCATGGAAAGCCACAAAGCCCAACACAAGGCTTCCCACCCCACAAGGATATGGAAAGATTTTTTTATCAATACACCTCAACCAGTTGCCGAACATGTTATACACACTAGGGGCGGCGGGGGGTATAGGTTTGAAGCTACCCTATTGAATTCATGCACCGACCAACTCATCCAAAAGTCCGAACTGATGGAGGGAGGTGGGCAATATATTTCAACACTCCCCCTCACGTCTAGGCTATTTTAGTCCTTAGACGTGGGATCGATGTAGGCCGCAGAATCGTTTTATTTAATACTGCGTTGGCAGGGTCTTGAACTCAAGATCTCTTGGCTCTGATACCATATTGAATTCATGCACCGACCAACTCATCCAAAAGTCCGAACTGATGGAGGGAGGTGAGCAATATATTTCAACATACCCAACAATGGACCACACCGCTAAAAATGCACTTCTCCACGCCCTTGTACACCGTCTCCACGCCCTTAAAAAATTGCAATGTGGTAGTGCTAAGACATAATTGGACATTTTTCCTTTAGACCAGTCACGAGTTTTCTTCCCTTTTGTACACCGTCTCCACGCCCTTAAAAAAGGAATTTTCATGTCATTCACATTTAGGTCCAGTTCAGATATCTCTGTTGTTTCCCTTTCCACCTAAACATACTGGTAGACTCAAATTGTATTTTTTAAGTGCTTATTATTGCTTGCAGGAAATCCTACTTTTACAATCAGTAGATCACCAGGTTATTCATAACCGTGTTTTCTGTGACTTGGAGAGAACATTTGTTTTGCAGGAAGTGAATCCTGGGTTATATTTTCCAATTGTCCCTATGTTCTGTTGGTTGTCTCGGATAAGTGCCTATAATGGTAATCCATATGTATAGCTATACCCATTTACCAAATTTAGGTCTGTTGCAAATTTGAGATCTTCTACATGGCTCTGGTGTTTGACTCAACAGTTACTAATACTCAACAATCCGACATTTATTTTTTACAAACTTGTTTTCGTCAAAATGGTTATGCACTGCGCACATCATTTATGAACGTATTTGGATCTTAATATTGAATTCGTGCTTACTAGGATCTTCTCTCTCTGCCAGCTGTGTACCATTGTACAATTTCAACTACACTTATGACTACATAATGTCTGCATCAACCAGCTTTGTGGACAGGTATAAACATCTCAGTTTTGCATTATGTCTCCTAGCCTTGATTAAGAATGAGTATCAGTCAGTATTTATGAATGACAATATAGTTCATCATATCCTTTTCCATTTTACATTGTCTTAGTGTTTTCATGCACCTTGACCTTTTAGATCGATTGCTAGCATAACATATTGCAGATCTGTTCATATTAAGATGTAAGCTTTTCTTTTAGCTGATGTTATAGTCTGACTAATAGCATCCAATTGTGTAATGCTGGCAGTTTCGCCGATACAAAACAGGGCAGGTACAATCCACGAATGGACCCAATCATCCCGGTGGAGAATTGGAGAAAAGGCTCGCAGGTACCTTTCCGCTTTTACTGATGAAAGAAGAAAGATGGAAAATAAAAGTTTAACTTGAATTTTTGTGTGTCTAACAAACTCATTCTTGTATCTCTGCCGCCCTAACTCGCCATACAGTGGGCTGTGCTGATTAAAAAGCATGCTGAAGTTGTGGTTTATGATGATGTGGTGTTGCCAGAATTCAAGAAGCATTGCAGGGTACGTGCCTCAATAATTGTATGTTCTATGTGCAGAAATATTCAGTACTGTAACATAGTTCATAGATGGACATGACTTCACAAGGTAGTAGTTTCGCATCATCAAGATAATGGCACTTAAATAGTTGTACACTTCTTATTATTCTACTAAGTTCTGACAATTTTTACATCTGTACTTACATATGGTGCTGTAGCGTATGCATGTACAAATGACAGTTTTTCCATCTGTACATACATGGGAACTTGATTTTTTTTCTGTGCCTGTTCTTATTGAAGAAAGTATATCTTTTATTTGCTGCAGAGAAGGCCCTTACCAGAGTTCTGGCGGGACTGGGATAAACCTATTGTAAGTGAGACCCTTTAACAAAATACCAATCCATCTATTTCTGGAGTATCTTGAACCGTGGTTCATGCTGTCTTTTTTTCTTCTGTGAAAATAGTTCAAAGCTTGTTTTTGATGCAGTTTGTACCTGGAGTATGTCTAGAATACATGACAGATTAGAGGTTGTGTTCATCATGCCATTTGTTTTCCTGTGGGTTCTGGATGTTAACATCTGGCCTTATTCCTGTGACATGAATTGCAGGCATGAACTTGATCCGTGCCTGTATTTGCTTTAATGTTAACTAGTACCCATCCAAATGAATTGATTTTTGTTTGTTTTCATCAACCTATGCAATTATAAAGGAGGTATTGTTCTCAAACTATGGACAAGTTAAAGCTTATACATGAAAATAGATAACACTATGTGTGATAGTTTGTGCGCTCACAAGGATCTCGTATACGGAAGTGGAACCAAAGTTAGATTAATCTGTGTTATTTCTGCAATATTCCTGTACGTATATGTAGTGAAGCCAAATTTTAAGCGCGGCATATATTTTAACTTCTTAAGAGTGCATAGAACCACTACTCATATGTCTACTGTATTTCTTATATTTCCTAAAATATTTTCTTAACCAAATAATTATCTAAGCCTTCAAGATTTACTTATGAACTCAATAAGTACATTTGTTTATGGTTGTTTCACTGGAAAAAGTTCAATTGGTAGTCTTACGTGTTACATGTCCTCATTTTACCCAGCCTGCTGAGGCATGGAAGGCACATAACTGCATACCAGATGAGCACTATGTTCAAACATTGCTTGCAGTAAGTCAATAATCATTGTAACATACCTTGAATTTGTTCTCTACACAAATGCACATGACATATCTCTGTTACAGCAAAATGGGCTTGAAGAAGAGCTTACCCGGAGATCAGTTACACATAGCGCATGGGATCTATCATCTTCTAAAGATCGTGAAAGGCGTGGATGGCATCCTGTAACATACAAAGTCTCTGATGCTACACCCGCACTTATAAAATCCATTAAGGTATATGTTTCTGTCAAATCTGAACACTGTATTCCCTAGAAAGATGATTGTATTTTTTCTTGTATTTCACAGAAAAACCATGTATGCTTTTATTATTTGTTTTGGTTTGCTGAGTTTGATAGAAGTTGATATCTAGCTACATCGATGGCAAAATCGGTGATGAGAGATACATACTTTGATTTCCATGCGGTAGTTCTGGCATAATAAGATGCATGTCTGTAAAATAAATTGCCTGTAAGAAGTGCCTAGGACAATTTCTAACTGTTCACTGAGGGTCTATCTCTTTATATTTTTTGTAGGATATTGATAATATATATTATGAGACCGAATATAGAAGAGAGTGGTGCACAAGTAATGAGAGACCAGCACCTTGCTTCCTCTTTGCAAGGAAGTTTACACGCGGAGCCGGTCTGAAGCTTCTTAACTCAGTGAGTTCAGGACCTTTAACTTTTGTTGTGGATGAGCCTGCACAAACATAGGCCAACCAGTTGCCAAATTTACTTCCCATGAACCTGATTTGGCCTAAGAAATAACACTCTGCTTTGCTTACGTAATTCCTTTTTCCTGTGCAGTCATTTATAGCAGCAAGATGATGAGTATATAGTGCAGGGGACATCTGCCATGTAAAGGTTTTCTCCCTTACAAGCAGAATACTGCCAGTTTGCATATACCTAAAGGAAAAGGGGTGGAGGTGACAGAAAATAGCAGCGATTTTTGGCGTGTGTTAGATATAATTTGTTGTACTCTAGAGAGTACAATAGGGTGTTGTAAAGAGATAAACTTATGCTTCATATAGCGCTAGGTTAGTACACATGTTAGCTCACAGCTCAGCTCAGCATTGTAACTGGAACCGTAAGCAACTATCCACAGTTGGATCTGGAAGAACCACTTAAGTTCTATTCTTGAGAAAATCCTTTCTGCAAATTTATGGAACCAGTTGCATCTTGTGGCATGTTCATTCGTTCAGTATTATTCGGTGATCTGAATGTGAATCGAGCGTATGGAACTGCAATGTTCACATTGATTCATAACATATTTGTTGATAATCTAGATGGTCAGAAGTATGTTTCGTCAAAGATACGGGACCTATCTACTTCTGTGGACTTTGATACTCTCAGTTCATCTTCATCAGACCTCTGGTGCTTTTATGATAGTATTGGTAGAATTACCAGTTTACAAGTAATCTACTGTATTCGGATACATGTCAATGGCGATCTGACATCATCAGGAGAGTTGTTGACATAGCATGTGACGAATTGACGTGTGACATGCTGCTTTGGACCCGAAGAGACCATCAAGCCCTCCACAGGTAAATGATTTCTGTCGCGTGACCAATAATATTCATCAGTGTGCTCCTCCGGCACCTTCATCTGTTTGTTATTTTCCCTTTTATTATCATGTTCGATTCCTGGTCGTACATTTCATTGGATATTTTCTCCCGCTTCTTTTTTGGGTGGATCTAGTGCTAGATTTGTATTATGATGTTTGTGGTACCAAAGAGAAAGGGGAATGAGGCAGCATGTAAGTTGCTTACCGCTAGCCCGGTGTCTCTTTCAACCACTGCATTGTCACTGTCGCTATGATCCATTGTCCAGAATGTCTCTAGCTGCCCGCTAGGACAAAAAACTGAACCGTTGTGCTAATACTCCCATCCATTTCACAGTTTGCAGATTGCTGAAGCTGCTTTTGTGTGCAATTTGCTTGCCAAGGACGACGAAGCAGGTAAACAACCTTTGAGACCCCGGGAGTGAGAAATGATGGTGTGGCCGTGTTGTTTGTGGTTTGTGTCTGGGTTCTCAGATATGCCTTGTTCTGTCATGCACAAAGTGGAGAAGAGCCTTTTCCTTCTTTCCAGGTACTAGTATATTTTCTGACACAGAAGTGAAAGAAGCTGGATGATCTGTCCCAGTTTTCTACAGCGGGATTGCGGACATCAACTGTAGGAGGAGCTTTATCTGTTCCAATAGCGGACAGCCAAGTTTCAGAAGAAACCTGGGACAAAGCAATGGATTTTGACTACTCAGCTAAATCATTACAATCCCGAGCAATAGATCCAATACTAGGATGTATATTTTTTCCATTCAAATCAGTAGACAAAGTGAGACTGGTTGGAAACAAACTCGGGCCGACTAAAGTCAATCAGAGGTTTGACTAAATTGTCATCGACACAAAAGTTGGGCAGTCTCGACAGGGAAGTTGGGCAGTTACTACGAAGAAGTCTCTACTCCTACAGTCTGGATCTTAGAATCGAATCATAGGAATTTTGTAGGATGGGGAATTATTATTTTTTGCTTATGGACGAAATAACACACGAGGACCAACCTAATGGACAAATTCTTTTGAATGTTCCAGTGCATCTTGTCTGTTTGTCTCTACTTTTCTCGCTAAAAATCAACTAACCCTTAATCTCAAATTTCATGCTTATTTGCTTTACACCATCTAAAGGCCTCTTCTCAGCAGTGCCCGGTGTTTTCATTCTCACATGATCAAAGGAACATTCTGGTTGTCTATTTTTTGTTTCTGTTTTCACGTTTTCCAACTCATGCATTGTTTAGAGCCCCTCATGCGTGCTTAAACTAATGTTTTCTTATTAGAAAAATGCCTAAGCTACTATCACATGTATATATAAACTTGTAGGCAAGGTACAACATGACATGTAGGTAACACCAGCTAGCCATTTTGGGCATGGAAAGGAGCGTGCAGTCAATTTAAAAGATCAATGATTGAATGTGGAAATGGATGTAGCGAAACACCACCACATTCTATGGTCCTGTTTCGAACGCAGCACTTTCCCTCCCTAATTCCCGCAAGGATTGATCGTTCGCTGTAAATTTGCAGAAAAAGCTTTTGCTTTATCAGCATGCCATTAACCATTCATCTTTGGCAAATTGCCCATGCAGTTCATTCAAAGGCTCAAGCAGAGCAAATTGCCCATGCACTTCATTCAAAGGTCTTCTCCTTTCTAAATGAACTGAAATTCTAGCTTTGTTCCAAGTCAATTTTTTTTGACCAAGTCTCTACAAAAACATATCAACATCTACAACAGCAAATAAAATATATTTTGACACTTTAATTTTTATTTTTCTATATCTTAACTTTCTTATATACTCGGTCAAACTTATCTAAATTTGACTTAGGACAAACTTAAAACTCCAATTAGCTTGGAATGGTGGGAGTAGACATCGAACTAAGGCAGGCCGCAATTTTTTACATTGGCCAGTTGCAAAGAGAGCCTTGGCTCAGTGGTTGGGCATGCAGTTGTGCAGCCTAACGACCCGAGTTCAATTCCTATAATTGACAGGTGATGCACAGGGGTTTTCCCCCATTTATTGATGATCAAGTTTGGTGTGTGGTGGAACCACTCATCAAAAAATATCTTGATACTCATTAAAAAAAATTCTAAGGACCATGTTTATCTTGGTACTCATACTAAAATGACCGTATGCATCCCTAGTTGGTGCAGAGGCCGGGGAAGTGAAATTCTCCCCCATTTTTAAAGAGCGTACGAATTCTTGAGGAAGAGGGTGAGCGCCCTCCCCTCCTCTCCCCTGGGTCGCCCCCGCGCGGCGACCAGGGGGGAACCCTAGCGCCGCCAAGCCCTCGGCTCCCTCTCCCACCTCTCCTGCTCGCCGCCGGGCAAAGCCCGGTTGGCGGCGGCGGCGGCCTCCCCGCAGCGGCCGGACTTGGCGCGGGAGGCGTTCGGCGGCGGTTGGCGGCGCGTTGGCGACAGGGCGCGCCGGCGAGGACTCAGGGGGTGACGGCAGGAGCTGTTTCCCCCGGTGGTCGTGTGGGGGGCCGTTCGGGGCGCTCCTATGGTGGTTGTGGTCGATCTGTTTCAGATCTGATCGCTGGTGCCTCGGGCGGCGCGGGGATCTCGGGGCGGCGGCCTCGATCGGTGGCGCGCGGTGCGGCCTGCCTGGCGGGCGACACCCGTGGGTGTAGATGGGGGGGGGCCCTTCCACGACTGCGTGGGCGGCGTGGTGGTGGCGACGCTACGACGGCTCCTCGATGGCCGACCGGAGTTCCATGTGAGGCGTCGTCTCCGACTCGATCTACTCCGGTTCGTGCTGGCTACGGTAGCGAGTACGGTCGACGCCAATACTGCCTGGATGGATCTGGCTGGTGGGCATGGATCCGAGGGAAACTCCAGGCCGGCGTGGCGGCCACACCAAAGTCGACGCCTTCGGCGCCGATTCCCTTCCTGGAGGCTTCGGTGTGGATCATACGCCCCCCCACCTCTTCCATGAGCGTAGGCGAAAGCCTCTGTTCCTCTATTTGGGCGACGATGACACTTTGGTGTCGTGTTCCTTCCTGAAGGTGTGGCCGAGGACTGCTCAGGGTGGTGGAGTTGCTGGTAGTTCGGAGTCGACGCGAGATGGCATGTAGGTGGAGCGGTGTGGCATCAACAGTATCATCGACGGTGGGTCTCGGCGGCATGGCGTAGTGGAGACTCGGCGTCCGATGCGCGGAGATGGACTCGCGCAGGAGGAGGAAGCTGTCTGGCGTTGTGGTGGCGTCGACGATAGCTAGACTGTGCAAAGTAGATGCAACAGTACAGCTCTGAAGATGGATTTGTGGCAAGTGGCTGCGACGGCCTCATACCCGGCAGACGTCCTGGTTGAGGAGCACGCCGGACTGGTGGGTGCCCATACCCGACAGACGTCCTGGTTGGGACCTCAGGTCTTAGATGTTAGGTCTGGCTGTGATTTTTGTTTAGTATTAGGCCTAGGCTATCAATGCCTCTTCATCAATTGGATAGGTGTAGCGACAGTTGTTACTTAGACGGTGGCTTTAGTCTTACTATTGTATGACTTTATAAGGTCTTGTGAGAATAATTAATAAAGCGGACGCATGGATCATCCAGATGCAGAGGCCGGGGGTCATCCTCCTTTTCTAATTTAGTTTTTTTTGTCAAAATGGAGACCTCTTGGGTACTGAATTTACCCCAAAACTTGATCCGGGGAGAAGAGTGGAGAATATACTTCGACACTTTTAATCCTGTACGGAATCTTTTTGTTAAGACGCAGCCCCACCCCAGCATTAGCAGTTGCTCCCACTGAGATATGTTTAGCCTTTCCTCCACGCCGCTCCTTCCAAAAGGCAGCTGATTCTCACTGCATCCACTCCAGCCAGCTGTGGACCTCTCCTTCACCAACAATGCATCGGGAGCAGTGTGAGAGTGTCTCCTCTGTGGCCCTGTACCTATAGGTAGGTGCAGTAGAGCGGCCAAAAGAGCAGGATGCAGTGCCCAAATGGCAGGCGTAAGTGGTGGTGCAGACTGGAGAATGGCCGTGCTTGCGACGGCCCTACTCCACTTTGCTGTCTGCCTTGTCTTGTTTTCTTCGCAGCTCAAGTCCAATCAGTGAATCAATTCCATTCGTTACGTGTCTTGCTAGTCCTGCATTATGATCAAGGATTAATAGCCGAGTCTTCCAGTTAAATTCTTTTTTTTCAAATAGAAGATATATTAAGATACCAATTACACTCAATCTCTACATCAATAAAAAGTCACAAATGTCAAACATGCACCATATCTGCTGCCGCACTATCTTGATTTGCTTCGGTTGTTACGAGTCCTAATTAGTTAGACTAG